GGTTGGTTGGTTGGTTGATTGGTTGACTGACTGACTGATGGAACCATTCGTCCATGGTGCCAGGCCCCAGCTCCTGGCTTTGTGCGAGAAGATGGTGCACTCCGGACAGGAGGCCCCATGGGCTTGGACTGGAGGCTTTAAGAGATTTTTTTTTTGGGGGGGGGGGGGGNNGGGGTTTCCGAAAACAAGGGGGTACCTGACTTGGTGGTCCTTATAGCAAGGATCCTACTATTTAGGGTTCTATATGACGTTCCCCTATTTTCGGAAACCCCCGATTTAGTGGTTTAGGGTTCGATGATGGTTTAGGGTAAAAGGGTTTAGGGTCGCTTTTGGGCCCTCTGTAGGGTCTTTCTACGGACTTGTTTACCAGTACTGTGTGTCGTCAACCTAGGTCACAAACTTAAAGGACATATAAGTGGGGTTCAACTGCAGCTAAGATTAGGCTATAAGTACCACGAACCTCCCAGTCACTTTCAAAATGGCGACGGTGATTCTTCCCGAAGCTCTACAAGCCCCAGTAGCCAAAGGCCGAACACCACAATATACCCGCGTAGCTCCAAGATAAGTATGTCGTACGATACCCCATCTGCTTCTCCAATTGAGGGTCCAAAACCACAACCATAGCAAACACGTCAACAAAGATCACAAGCCTTTAAAGAAGTCCTCAAAGGAACCCTGCGCTGATTACCAAGTTATGCGAAACCCCTAAACCCCTGAACCGTAAACCCTAGACCCTAAACCCTAAACCCTACACCCTAAACCCTAAACCCTAGACCCTCAAACCCCTAAACCCTTAAGCACCTAAACTCCTCAGGCGTCAAAGCACGAAACAGTAGTCAATCCTAGAGGCTAGTGTGGGGGCCGGAATACTCGATAAGATGATTCCGCATTATTCATAAGTAATATAGGGACCTTAATAATTAGAATAGGGTTTTGGGGCCCAGTATACTGTAGTTATAGTAAGGAGCCCCCAAAATAGTATAGGTAATTATTTAGGTCCCTGCATTACAGCAGAGCTACCCAACAGCCTTGTTCGAGTTTTTAGCTCTCCTACGCAGAGGCCCAGATACCCTTTGTGAGCATTACAGAAACCAACCCTAATCTCTGAACTCTGAACCTTCAACGCGAAACCCTTGACCCGAAACCCTAAACCCTAGACTCTGAACCTTCAGCCCGAAACCCTTGACCCTAAACCGTAAACTCTGAACTCTCAAACCGAAACACCCGAAACCCTAAACCCCACCCTGAGCCCTGAGCCCAAGAATTGAACTGGCCGGCAAAGACCCTAGTTCAGGTGCTATTCTGTTTAATTGATTGGTTCGTTTTGGTAGTTAAATAGTTGAAATATATATATATATATACACACACATATTGAGGGTATACTATGTTTGAAACTACATATATACACACATATTTAGGATATACTATATTTTATTGTTTACGAACTGGACCCAGGCACTGTCCAAAGGGCCGAAGTCGGCACCTCATTCCCGGGATCCGTCGAGGGCAGGGCTTAGAACTTCAGGGGTTCTACAACAGAGTAATGTATAATAAAGGTTCTATACAGGGGTCCTATAAGGGTTCTATAAAGGGGTTCTATAAAGGGGTACTACAAGGGTTCTATAAAGGGGTACTATAAGGGTTCTGTACAAGGGTTCTATAAAGGGGTACGTACTATAAGGGTACTATATGAGGGTACTATGAAGGGGTACTCTATAGCACCCGTCGAGCTTCCTCGCTGTTTTGCAGCACTTCCTTGACCGGTTTTGTAGAGTCAGAGTCTTATGGGTTATCGCAGGTGTAGGGTTGTTGCAAGAAGAAAGAGCTTTGGGGCTGTGCTGTAGAGTGACGTGGGCAATCGTAATGTGTTGCGGGGTGCTGAATCAGGTTCGGGGCTTTGAGGCTCCGTTGGGTTTCAGTGGGTGTCAAAGGTGTTATATATGTACATATAGATAGATAGATAGATAGATAGATAGATAGATGGATAGATAGATAGATAGATAGATAAAGGTACATAGACAGACAGATAGTTAGATCGATAGATCGATATATAGATAGAGAACTAGAGTTTTGTAGGTTACGCGTAGGCTTCTTACCGGGTGTGTGTTCGGGGCTTCGGTCTGCAGTGGTGCATTATTTTTACGGTTTCCTTTGGATGTACAAGAACTACGGCGTCTTCGAAGGGTTACCGGTAAGGGGTTTAGGATGTAGAGATTTGCTTTCAGGGTTCAGGATTCATGGCAGCCGCAATGGCTTCGTAGGGAATCGAAAACCCCGGGTAAGGGCCCCGATTTTGGGGTCTCCTCTTGGGTGTCATAGTGTTTGGGGATTTCGGCTTTGGCGGCTTCGTGCCCAATGGGTTGAGTTCAGGGTTTACAGCGCCCTATTCGTTTCGTGGGGGTGTTTAAGACTTGGAGTTTCAGGTTTCGCAGAGTTCTCTCATAAACCTTGATACTTGTAAGGTTGCTTGGTCGTTGAGGGTAGTTGCGGAGGTTTAGGTAAAGCCTACTACAAACAATCATAGTAACATAAACTGATAATATAAAGAAAGCTTACCCTCAAAGAACAGTAGTAGTAATAATACTAACAATAGCAGCATTCATAACATTCATACGATAACTGTCATAGCCCCCATATCAAAGCCCTAAAACGCAAGATCCGAGGAAGCCCCAAGCCCTGAAGATCTCGAGCTCAGACGCTGAAACAGAGAGGACTTGCTGCTTTACTTTAAGTTTCAGTATAATATAACATATCATACCATACTACATTATAGTATAATGTGTTATATGATATAAATATAGCATGTTACATAAGTTATAGTAGAATAGATTGTATGATTATGGAACCCTAATCCCTAAACCCTAAACCCTAAACCCTAAACCCTAAACCCTAAACCCTAAGGCGCTCGGCCTCGAACAAAGAGAACTCGCAGCTCCGGGCCGAGAGCCCGGGGCGACTGGCGCAGGCCCGGGGTCGGAGTCGAAGCTTCAGTCAGGGACTCTATAGAGGGGATCTTGTAGGGCTCTTTTAAGGGTTCCCTTAAGGGTTCCAGTCAGGGATTCTATAGAAGGGTTAGGGTTAAGGGGTTCAGTCAGGGACTCTTTGGAAGGGATCGGGTTTAGAGTTTAGGGTTTAGGGTTTAGGGTTTAGGGTTTGGGGTTTAGGGTTTAGGGTTTGGGGTTTAGGGTTTAGGGGTTTAGGGGTTTAGGAATCCCAGTTTCTGGCTTCTACTTTTCGGATTCTAGACGGGATCCTGCAGGGCTCTTTTAAGGGTTCCCTTAAGGGTTCCCTTCTAGAATCCCGGAAAGTTGGAACATGGGACTCTATAGAAGGGATTTGGTCTAGGGTTCTTTTAAGGGTTCCTAGAAGGGATCCTATAGGGTTCTTTTAAGGGATTCTAGAAGGGATCCTATAGGGTTCCTTTAAAGGATTCTAGAAGGGATCTGGTTTTGGGTTTAGGGGTTTAGGGGTTCAGGGTTTAGGGTTGGGGGGTTTAGGGGTTTAGGGGTTTAGGGGTTTGGGGTTTAGGGTTTAGGGTTTAGGGGTTTAGGACTCCCGGAATTCTAGAAGGGATCTTGTAGGGTTTTTTAAGGGTTCCCTTAAGGGTTCCTTTCAGGGTTCCCTTGGAAGGGATCTTATAGGGTTTCGGGTCCGTAAGATTGAAGTGGAACTAATAGGATGTATGAGGCTTTAGGGCTGAGGTCTCTTAGAGGGATTTCCTGTGACAGGTTTTAAACAAATGAGCCAAGGTCGACCAGCGCAGGAAAAATAACATCGAACTTGGATTCAGGTGTAGTGTACATAGGTAGATTATACATAGTCTCACCGACGCCCGTGCTTCATGTGCATGCATGCATGCATGCATGCATGCAAGTGTTTATGTATGCACGTACGTATGCATGTATGTATGTATGTATGTATGTATGTATGTATGTATCTATGTATCTGTGTATGTATGTATGTATGTATGTATGTATGTATGTATGTCTGTATGTATGTTCTAGTGTATGTACGCGCGGTGTAGACTTTGGCGTAGGGCTTTGGGGTAAGGTTTTGGGGTCCTTTGGGTTTGAAGCCACATAGCTGCATAATTACAATAGCACCTACTGCCACTACTACTGCTATTGTTAAGTTACTCCTACCTATTACCACCTACTACTACTGCTGCTTCTGATGCGACTGATTCTGCTACTACTACTACTACTGCTACTACTACGACGACGACGACGACGACGGCGACGACCCCACAGCTTCCAATTCACGTCAGGGGCGCGTGGCCACGGCACGCTGCGGCTCACGGCAGCAGCAAACTAAGAAATGGGGTTTGGGGCTTTCGATTCTTTGGGATTTCCTGCTTTAGATGGTTGAGGCTTTAGGGCTTTCGATTCTTTGGGATTTCTGGCTTTAGATGGTTGAGGCTTTAGGGCGTTAGATTCTTTGGGATTTCTGGCTTTACAGGGTTGAGGGTTTAGAGCTTTAGAGTCTTTGGGATTTATGGCTTTAGAGGGTTGAGGGTTGAGGGCTTTGGAGTCTTTGGGATTTATGGCTTTAGAGGGTTGAGGGTTTAGGGCTTCAGGGAGGATTTACGGTTTTGGAGGGTTCCGTGTGAAGGGCTTCCAAAAGCTTTGGGTTTAGACCTTGGAGGTCACAGGGTTGTAGGGTTTAGGGTTTAGGGTTTAGGGTAGGCAGTCGCAGTGATATGGGCGGCTTTGGTTTGCTCCTTTTTGCATTTTGAGTAATGTAGGGGCCTTAATGGGTTCGTTATGATAATTATGGTTTAAGATACACCCAAACCAGATTATGGTATGTGTTGCACGGGCTTCCATCAATGCCCTGAACCCCCTACCCTCGACACCCCAAACCCTAACTGACCCCTATGTTTTCCGGTGATGTGGGATCTTTAGATTACCCCAAGCGCTAGACCCTAATATTGGAATGATCCCTCTTGTGTCCCAAAAGAAAATAAACCCTCATATTTCCTAATTAAAAAAGAGAATAAACCCTCATATTTCCTAGTTATCAAACAGAGCAAACCCTTATATTTCCTACATACTTTTTTTAAGAAAAAAGAGAGAATGAACCCTCATAATTTTGCAAATCTTTGCCACCAAGGCCCGGGAGCTTCCGGGGAGACAGAGCGAGCACGGCGGCCACCACCAAGGCAGCGCCGAGATTCCTTGAACCAAGCGGTTAGGGTTTAGGGTTTAGGGTTTAGGGGTTTAGGGACATATGGGTAGTTCTCTAATTTAGGGCCCCTTTTTAGGTGCCCCAAATAGTACGGCACCCTTAAACAAA